ATTACTGTAGAAACCATCAAGCAACAAAGACAAATTATAAAATGAAAAAAAAGGAACAAAAGACATATAAAACAACCATTAAAAAAATTAATAAAATGTCAGGAGTAAGGTGATACCTTTCAGTAACAACCTTGAATGTAAATGGGTTTACATCCCCATACAGGTGTTATATGTGGTATATAAGTCTATATGGTTATAAGTCTATAAGATATAGACTGGGTGAATGGATTAAAAAACAAGACCCAACTATATGTTGCCTGCAAGAGACTCACATCACCTGTAAAGACACACATATACTAATAGTGAAGAAATGGAAGGAGATATTCCAAACAAATGGAATCCAAAAATAGCTATAAATATATATACACTCAACATCAGAGCACCCAGATATATGAGCAGAAATAGCTATAAATATATATACACTCAACATCAGAGCACCCAGATATATGAGCAGAAATAGCTATAAATATATATACACTCAACATCAGAGCACCCAGATATATAAAAAATAATTATTGGATCTAAAGGGAGAGATAGACCCCAATGCAATAATACTTGGGAACTTCAACACCCCTCTTTTAGCACTGAACACACAATCTACACAAAAAGTCAGCAAAGAAACATTGGATTTAAACTGCACCATAGGAACTCTGGTTAAGATGACAGACTTGAAGTGCCCAGTGTGCTATCCTCTTACAAAGGGGAACCAGAGCAGGGACTGTATAGCTGGGATTAGTGTAAGAGAGATTCTTCTTTGCAACAAGAGGCATCTACTCAGCCATCAGCACAACCCACACGACCTGCACCCATGGCCCTAGCCTCTAGAACTGCATTCTGGGTGGACCCAGCCCCAGCCACTACATTGCACCTGACCCCAAACACCAGAGCACTGTGCCACACCCTGCAGCCTCCAGAGACCCACCCCATGTGGCTTCCATCCTGGGAGACCTAAGCCACCTGGCTGCAGCCTCCAGAGACCCACCTGGTGCAGCTTCTGTCACAGGAGGCTTGAGATGCAGGGCAGCAGCCCTGGAGTCTCCGCTTCCCCATTGGAGGCTTGAAAAACCCAACAACAGCACTGGGAGCCCTGCCCCTTGTAGCTTCCGCCACAATGCCTAGCAACAGCTCCAGGAGACCCACCCTTTGGAGCTTCTGCTGCAGGGGGCTTGAGCTGCCTGGCAACAGCCATGGGAGCCCCACATTGTCAGGCTTCCACTAGGGGAAGCTTAAGCCACATGGCAAGAGCCCAGGGAACCCTGCCCCTGGTGGCTTCTGAACCAGAGAATTGAGCTACCAGGAAACAGCCTTGGGAACCCTTCCCCTTGTGGTTCCCACTGCAGGAAACTTGAGCCACTGGGCAGCAGCCCCTAGAACCACACCCAATGTGTCTTCCACCATATGACTCCCAATCTGCCTGGCAGCAGCCCCCAAAGCACTTCCCCATCTTCTACCATGATAGCATTGGTTCTACTGGCAGCAGCCTCTGGAGCCCTGCTTGCATGTCTTCCCCCATGGGGGCTATGATCCATGTGACAGCAACCTTCAGAGACATGCCCCTTGCAGCTTCCTCCCTGGCAGGCTTGAGCCACGTGGCACCAGCCTCCAAAGTCCTACCTTGTGTGTTCTCCATTGCAGGAAACATGAGCTGCCAGGCATCAGCCTCCCAAGCTCTGCCCCATGTGGTCTCTACCCAACTGTACCCTCTGTAGTCCTATCCAGCATAGTTATGTGACAGGAAACCTGCAGCAGCAGGCCACAGCCTCTGGAATCCTGCCCTTCACAGCTTCCACTATTGGAGCCTGGTGCTGCTATGCCACAGCACCAGGAGCCCCACTCCATGTGGCCCCAGTTGCCCTCAGCCACAGTGGTAGACCTGTCTGCACTCCCTGATCTTCTGAGTCTACCCAGAAAATTCTGGGGCTATAGAGTCCACACAGTACCAAAACTAAAGCTTCCCACCCAATAGGCAACATAAAATAAATCTGCAGGAAGGATTCTCTGTCCTCAAAACCTACTGAAGTAACTTAAGTAACCGCTCCACCAAATGATCAGACATCAATGTAGGGATACTAGAAATCTGAAAAAAAAAAAAAAAGAAAATGTGACACCTCCAAAGGAATATAACTCTCAAATACCAGATCCCAATCTGCAAGAAACCCTTGAAATAGCTGAAAAAGAATCCTGAGCAACAATCTTAAAGAAACTCAGTAAAATATAAGAGTCACAAAACACAATGAAATGAGAAAAACAATCCATGAAAGAGGAAATCTACAGAGAGATTAATGCCATAGAAAAGGATGTGGCAGAACTCATGGAACTGAAGGACTCATTCGATGAAATAAAAACTACATTTGAGAGCTTAAGCAGCAGGCTAGAGCAAGCAGAAGAAAGAATTTCAGATCTCAAAGACACTGTTTTCAGAATAAACCAAGCAGGAAAAAGAAAAGAACAAAGAATTTTTTTTTAATGAAGAAAATCTTAAAGAGCTATTAGCCTCAACCACAAAACATCCAATACATGGGTGAAGGGGAGGAAAAAGAAAAAGGTATTGAAAACCTAATCAACAAAAGAATAGCAGAACACTTTCCAGGTTAGGTAGAGAAATGGATTTCCAAATTCAAGAGGCTCAAAGATCCCCAAACAGATTCATCCCAAAAAGGTCCTCTCCGAGAAACACTGTAGTCAAACTGGCAAAAGACAAAGACAGAGAATCCAAAAAACAGTGAGAGAAAAGTGTTAAGTCACCAATAATAGAATCCCCATCAAACTAACAGCACACTTCTCAGCAGAAACCCTACAGGCCACAAAGGATGCAAAGACAGTTCAATATACACAAATCAATAAGTGTGATATACCACATCAACAAAATCAAGAATGAAACCATATGATCATCTCAATACATGTGGAAAATGCACTTGACAAAATTCAACATCCCTTCATGATAAAGACTCTCAGCAAATTGGGTATAGAAGGAAGGTATCTCAACACAAGAAAAGCCGTATAAAACAAACCACCACCAATATCATACTGAATGGGGAAAGCTCTCAGCTTTTTCTTGTGTTGAGAATGTGAGCAAGACAAGGATGCCTTCTCTTACCACTCCTATTTAATGTTGTATTGGAAGTACTTGCCAGAGCAATTTCTCGAGAGAAAAAAATAAAAGACATCCAAATGAAAAAAGATGAAGAAAAATTGGACCTGTTTGCAGATGAGGTGCATCACAGCATCCACAAACAATCACAGCCTAGGACAACAAGGCACTTGCAGATACCTCCGTTGAATACAGTCAAAGAAATCAAATGATTACACTACTGTCCTCCCTCAGAATCAAAGCCAAAGCACCCTACCCAATTGACCTTATAGAACCCATCCACAGGAAAAAGTCTTTCCTTAAAAGAAGTACTTCATAAAATTGGAAGAAACGACTGTTCCATCAAAAGTGCAGACATCGAGATAGGGATACAAGAAATATTTAAAAAGCAAGAAAACATGACACCTCCAAAAAACACAATAATTCTCCAGTATTGGATTCCAAACAAACAGAAAAATCATGTATTACCTGCAAAGGAATTTAAAATAATAATCTTAAGAAAAACTCAGCAAGGTGCAAGAGGATACAGATGGACAATTCCACAAAATCAGAAAAACAATTCATGATCTGAATGACAAATTGAACAAAGGGATAATTACCATAAAAAGGAATCAAATATAAATCTTGGAAATGAAGAATGTATTGAATGAAATAAAAATACAACAGAGTGCTTTAACAACAGACCAGATTAAGAAGACAGGTCTTTTGATATAACCCAGTTAGAAAAAGAAAAAGAATTAAAAAAGAATGAAGAAAGTCCACAAGATTTAGAAAACAAAAAAGATTGGAAATTAATGAACAAAGCATTAGATTCAAGGAAGCTTGAATTAAAACAGAGCAAAAGTAAAGAGAGCAGAAAGAAAATGCAAAACTTGATGTTAAAAAAAAGAAATATAGCAGTCTTAACAAAAACGAAACCTAGGTTTTTCAAATTATGTAGAAAATAGAAGCTCCTGTGAAAAGAATGCTCATGAAAAAGAAAAACAGGAAAAAAAAAAAAAGAACCCCATGTAACAAACTGAAATTACAAAGGGAAATGTGTCTACAGAGAAGGCATAAATATTTACATTTATATATAAAACAATACTAGATATGGCAAATGAATGCAGTCACATGTAGTAAAAACATCTAATATACACCAGCTTTCAACGTGGATGTTGTTCTCTGCAGGGAGGAGGGGGATCATAGTGGAAGGGAATAGTGGCTATACATGCAATGGTTTATTTCATAAGAGAAACAAGAAAAATATTAACATTTGTTTATTTGCAGTGGTGGGCAAGTGGATGTTTGTTACTGTGTTCTCTGTGTTTGAATTATTTCTTTAATAACAAGAATATGTCATAGGCTAAATTATAAATTTGCTTTCTGTAAACTTTACCCATAGAATATTTTTTGAATTATTTATTAAATGAAACAGCAATGTAAATTGAAATATTCATCTGTGATTGGGCCCAGAAATCTGCAATTTTTTTTTAAAGATGACTAGTAAGGGGATCTTAACCCTTGACTTGATGTTGTCAGCACCACGCTCACCCAGTGAGCTAACCGGCCATCCCTATATAGGGATCCAAACCCGTGGCCTTGGTATTATCAGCACCACACTCTCCCAAGTGAGCCACGGTCTGGCCCTAGAAATCTGCATTTTTAATAAATCCTCTGGTTCTTGGATACATTTGAGTTCTTCTCTCGATGAGCAATGCAATGATTTTGACAGGTTATCTAAAGTACACTACCAAATCTTTGCATCTTTAAAATGAGGATATTCACAATACTCACATAATTAAATGATACAGTGATGTAGTACTCAAAATCCCCGTAAGATGTAATGTGTCTGTTCATGATATTGCCTTACATGTGACTAGATTCAAATGGTACATAAGTTTAACTTCAGAACACAAACTCAATTTACTCGCTACTTAGGGATTCCTCTTCCTTGGTGAACCACTTTTTCAAGCTAGTCCATGCCACAACTATTATGGTTGCTGTGATGAGAATAGGAACAGCAATGTAGAAACCTAGAAGCCAGTTCTTGCCAGCATCCCTAGAAGCTCTTTCCGTAGTTGAACCTAAAAATAAAAATACATACAACAAATCCATTAAAATATTCTTAATTTTTATTGTCATTCAGGGAACATAATAGAGTCATAATACTTGGGACTATCTGTTTAACTTTTCATTCAAAACCACTTTCCAGAAAATTCAAAATTATTCTAATTTATACAGCAGCTACAGCAAAATCTCACTATAACACTGTAATTGGGGCCAAAAGCCTCAAAGACATATAATGTGGAATTGTGGAATTGCAAAGTTATCCAAATTTGCATTGCTACAGGGTGTATTATCAAAAGTATTTTACTGTATTTATGTATACCCTATTTTTCTTCAGTAGATTGCTGCCTTTTGACACTAGGGAAGGATCTACATTTACTTATGGAGCCACTGCAGTGCTACTAAAATGGCACATTATTTTGCTTACTGTATATCCCCAGTGCCTAGACCAGCACCTGACATATACTGAGTTGAACAAATGTTTGCTAACTCAATGAATGAATGAGTGACAGAAACTGAAGTCATGGTGAACAAACAGAACACTGTGCCAGCTTCCCCTCTGTCATCTATTAAGTGGAAATCTACAGGCTTTTTTCATTTAAACTATAAACCCCTTCAGAGTAAACTCTTGTGTTCTATTTCATTTTTCCTATAACAGAAACAGTAACAGAGTAAGTGTTTTTTGTTTAGAGCTGAGATCACAAGATAAATCATGAAAGCATAGGGGAAGGAGAGGTTAGGAAATATTCTAAAAGAGAAAGTCAATGATATCATTAAAATTTTTAACAGATATTCAGCTTCAATCATCATATTTTAATACTAGAAAAGAGATCAAGATTAAGAAGACATATTTGGTTTTCATTTCTGTAGAGAAGCCTGATTATCTTTTAATTACAACTATTAGTATGTTTTTAAATGGCAAAATATAACTTTGTTTTATTAAAGATAAACAACTTGAGAATTTTATTAAATGGATATCTAAATAGATACTTGCCCTTTTCCCCAAGCGATATAGAAGATCCTCTGGAACGTCTTTGGCAACTTGGAGGCTGGAAGCCCTCATTACAATGGCAGACATTGTTGGAATTGCACACCTAGGATCATTTTTTAAAATTAAATAATTATTTAAAAATATTTTTTCACAGAAAAGTGAAATTATGAGATGGCTTATCAAGGTTACTTTTGTATCCTAACCTTGTGTAATTTTGTCTATCTGATTTATGTAGAGAGTTAATTCCACAAATCAAATGCCTGCTTTTTAGACTCACACACATAAAACAGCAAAAAGGAGCTGTAGAGTGAAGCTCACAATATTTGCACCAAAAAAATGAAACAGGACCTCCAGGAAGATGGCAGACTAGAGGTTCCCAGGGCATATTCCTCCCACAGAAGAAGATCAAAACATGCCTACTGCCACTGTTGCAACCACCATGGCTGCAGTCACTGCCACCACCACTGCTACCGGCAGCCACAATTGTTGTGCAAGCAGCCTGCAACAACAAGAGCCACTGCTGCCACATGGGCGACCCATCAAAGTGACAGCCACAACCACCACCACTGCAAGGGTGGCCTGCTACCACAGTAGTACGGCCACTGTGAAGGTGGTCTGCCTACCACTTGACTGAACTGACACAAGGAGGGTCACCAGCAGAGTGCAGGGAAGGAAAGTAACAGACATCAAGTACATGAGCAGACATCAACAAACAGATACTAGAAATACAAAAAAAAAAAAAAAATAGAAAGAAAATATGAGGAGACCAAAAGATTACAATAACTCTCAAGAACCAGACACCAAAGAGGAGGAAACACCTGAAATGACTGAAAAGAAATTCTGAGTACAAATCTTAAAAGAAACTTAATGATATACAAGAAGACACAGGTAGATGACACAATGAACTAAGCAAAACTATTCAGAATATCAAGGCAGAAGTTTACAAAGACATTAAGTCTTTAAAAAAGAATGTAGCAGAACTCATGGAACTGAAGAAGTCATTCAACAATATAAAAAACACAAGTGAGCGCTTCAGCAACAGGTCAGAATAAGCAGAAGAAAGAATTTCTGTTGCAGAAAACAGTCTCTTCAAAATAACTCAGGTAGAGAAGAAGAAAAAATAAATTTTAAAAATGAAGAAAATCTAAGAGACATACCAGAATACCTTAAGCACACAAATGTCTGAAACATGGGTATTCCTGATGGGGAAGAAAAAGGAAAGACATTGAGAATATATTCAATGAAATAATAGTGGAAAACCTCCCAGATATAGAAAGACACACAGGCCTTCAGATTTAGGAGGCTCAAAGATCCCCAAACAGATTGAATCCAAAAATATCCTCTCTGAGGCACATTATAATCAGACTGGCCAAATGCAAAGACAAAGAGAGAATCCTAAAAACAGCAAGAGAAAAAGCATCAAGTCACATATAAGGGAGTTCCCATCAGACTAGCAGCAGACTTCTCAACAGAAATTCTACATGACAGAAGAGAACAGGATGATATATTCAAAATACAAAAAGAAAAAAACTCCTACCCAAGAATACAATACCCAGCAAGGCTTTTCTTCAAAAATGAAGGAGATATAGTGTATTTCCCAGATAAACAAAAACTATGAGAGTTCATCACAACATGACCATCCCTACAAGAAATCCTCAAGGGAGTCCTTCATCTGGAATCCAAAATATGATAATCACCACCATGAATATACAAGAAAGAAAAACACTCACTAGAACAAAAATGCAAATAAGAAAGAGAAAGAAACTGTATCTTACCACCTCCAAAGACCAACAGACACCAAAGACAAACAATAAAGGGAGAGAAACAGAAGATATTTAAAATATCCAAATAAAAAATCAATAAAATGCCAGAAGTAAGACTATACTTTCAGTAACAACCCAAAATATCAATGCATTGATTTTCCCACTTCAAAGACAGAGACTGGCTGATTGAATTAAAAGCTATATTCAACTATATGCTATCTACAAGAGACTTGCCTCACCTGTAAGCATAAACACAGACTAAGAATGAAGGAATGGAAAAAGATATACCACACAAACGGAAATCAAAAATAAGCAGGAGTAGCCACTTATATCAGATAATAGAGACTTTAAACCAAAAACTATAAAAGAAAACAAAGAAGGCCACTATATAATGAAAAAAAAAAGATCTATCCAGCAGGAAGACAACAATCATAAACATATTTGCACCCAACATTGGAGCACCCAGTTATATAAAGCAAACACCACTAGACCTAGACCACACTTTAGACCAATTGGATTTGACAGATATCTACAGAACATTTCATCCAACAACTGCAGAATTTACCTTCTTCTCATCAGCACATGGAACATTCTTCAGGATTGACCACATGTTAGGTCACACATGTTAGACAACATGTAGCTTTAACACATTTTTTTTAAAATTGAAATCATTTCAACTATCTTCTCTGACTGCAACAGATTAAAACTAAAAATCAATAACAAGCAAAACACTGGAAACTGTACAAATACATGGAAATTAAACAACATACTAATGAATGACTATCAGTACAAGAAGAAATTAAACAGGAAATCAAAAAATTTCTCAAAATTAATTAAAATAAAAACACATCATACCAAAACCTGTGTAATACTGGAAAAGCAGTATTAAGAGGGAAGTTTATTGCAATAAATGCTTACATCGAAAGAAGAGAAAGATTTCAAATAAACAACCTAACACTACACCTCAAAAAACTAGAAAACAAGAAAAATCCAATCCCAAAATTAGTAGATGGAAAGAAATAATTAAGATCACAGCAGAAATAAATAAAACAGGAAACCCCCCCCAAAAGACATAAAAGATCAATAAAAAAAAGTTGGTTCTTTGAGAAGATAAACAAAATATAAAAACCATTAGTAAGGCTAACTAAAAAAAGAAGAGAAGACACAAATAGCAAAAATTAGAAATGAAAAAGGAAACATTATAACAGATACCACAGAAAAACAAAGAATCATTAGAGACCATTATAAACACCTATATGCCAACAAATTTGAAAACGTGGAGGAAATGGATAAATTTCTGGGCACATACAGAAAAACAAGACTGAACCAACAAGAAATAGAAAACCTGAACAGACCAATAACAAGCAACAAGATTGAAGCAATAATCAATCAGTAGTCTCTCAACAAAGAAAAGCCCAAGACTGGATGGCTTTACTGCCAAATTCCAATGGACCATTAAAGAGGAATTAACACCAATATTCCTCAAACTACTCCAAAAAACTGAAACAAAGGCTATTCTCCCAAACTCATTCTATGAGGCCAGCATCATCCTGATACTAAAACCAGACAAATATACAACAAAAAAAAGAAAACTATAGGCCAATATCTTTGATGAACATAGACACAAAAATCCACAGCAAATATTAGCAATCAGAATAGAGCAAAACAGCAAAAAAATTATACATCATGATCAAATGGGATTCACCCCAGGGATGCAAGAATGGTTCAATATATGCAAGTTCATAAACTGATAAAACACATCAACAAAATCAAGGACAAAACCATATGATTATCTCAATACATGGTGAAAAAGCATTTGACAAATTTCAACATCCCTTCATGATAAACACTCAGCAAAATAGGAATAGAAGGAAAATATCTCAACACAATAAAAGCAATATATGACAAATCCACTGCCAATATCATCCTGAATGGGGAATGGGAACAGGACGAGGATGTCTCTCTCTCCACTCCTATTTATCATAGTATTATTGTAAGTACTAGCCAGAGCAATCAGGCATGAGAAAGAAATAAAGAGCACCCAAAATGGAAAAGTTGAAGTTAAACTGTCCCTGTTTGCAGATGACATGATTTTGTATGTAGAAAAGCTTAAGTACTCTACAAAGATACTCAAAGTTGATAAATGATTTTAGTAATGCTGCAGGATACCAAATCAACACACAAAAATCAGTCATGTTTTTATACTCCAACAATGATCTAGCAGGGAAAAAAAAATCAAGAAAGCTAGCCAAATTATAATATCACCAAAAAATAAAATAAAATAAATAAAATACTAAGTAATAAATTTAACCAAGAAGGTGAAAGATATCTACAATGAGAACTACAAATCACTGTTGAAAAAATTAAAGAGGACATAAAAAGAAAGACATTCCATGTTTTTGGGTTGGAAGAACTAACATTATGAAAATGTATAGTATCCAAATCAATCTACAGATTCAATGCAATCTCCATCAAAATACCAATGACATTCTTCACAGAAATACAAAACACAATCCAAACATTCATGTGGAATAACAGACTGTGAATAGCCAAATCAATCTTGAGTAAAAAAAAAAAAAAAAAAAAAAAAAAAAGCTGGAGGCATAACACTACCTAACTTCAAATCATACTACAAAGCCTAATAATCAAAACAGCATGTACAAAACAGCATAAAAACAGACTTGGACCAATGGAACAGAATAGAAAATCCAGCAATGAACAGACATAGCCAACTGATCTGTAACAAAGGCACCAAGAACATAGGGGAAAAGATGACACCTACAATAAATGTTGCTGGAAAACTAGATATCCATATGTAGAAGAATGAAACTAGATCCATACCTCTTGACATATACCAAAACCAACTAAAATGGATTAAAGACTTAAATGTAAGACCTCAAAACATAAAACTACTAAAACAAAACATAAGGGAAACACTTCAGTAAGTAGGACTGGGCAAATACTTTATGAACAAGACAACAAAAGCACAGGGGAAAAAAGGAAAAATAAACCAATGGGATTATATCAAACTAAAAAGCTTCTGCACAGCAAAAGAA